AGGTTCCCTCCCCTATTTGAAAGTGGAGTGTTTCCTATGAAATCTTTCATAGTCTGAAATGGTGTGAAACAAAGAAGCAATTACCATTCATTTATATGGAAAAATTTTGAGCATTCTCAGACCCAAAATTCAACACATGCATAATATCTTTATTTTGTTCATGGTGATCGAAATGCTTAATTATGTCCCGTTTTATACTAAGTGTGACACCCTTATGAGCTCTCTTAGGCATCTCTGACATTTTAGGACATATCTTGCTAAGGGATGCACAAAATACCTAAAAGAAAGCCCAGATGCACACAGACAGTTCAAAGCTTTGATGGGTTGATGCTGAGATGCTGAGTGTAGTTCCCAGGGAAGGAGCTTGGTGGGGCCACTCGTGGATGCAAGGGATGCACACTGCCTCTATAATGGTTCCTTGCAAAAAAAACCCCACAGCACTATTTTCCCTTTTCATGTTTTTGTACAAAAGCTAAAATCCTCTTCGGATATCTTTCAGTTAGTGAAGTGGCATAACAAGAACTTTTGAAAAGGGGTATACCTGTACCCCCAAAAACCTTATGTACCTTTTTCTATATCAAGCCAATTCTTCCCCTGCCCTAAATCCACCTAGAGTCAGGTACAGAAGCTAGGGACAGCCTCTCTGCCCCAAAGCCCTCCAGAATCATTCACAGTAGCCAATCTTCAACCGTTTCCTTTGCCCTGCCTTTCTTTTCCCCCAAAAAAATCCCAATAAAAAATCTGGCCTAGGCTTTCCAGGCTCCTGCTTCTGTCTTCCTCTGAACCAAAATCTAGTGTTTCCCCTCTGGCCCTGTGTGGCATGGCATGCCCCCCTTCTCTTGGGAAATGTAAGTAATGAATTCTTTCAATGGCATTAGCCTCTCTGTGTCATCACTTAGTCACCTGCACATATTAAGACCCATAGGTACAAATGCAACTGAGACCTTTTCCCAACCCCCTCATTAGGCTGCCTGCTGTTTTATCAGGAACCCCCAGACTGTAACTGTCCTTAGATCTCTTCTCTTGAAGCAGTCAACTTTCTAGAGAGGAATCCAGTTTCCAGCCTGGAGGATATAAGCCTACAACCCAACTTCTGAGTGAAGTTCCAAAGGTCAGAGCAATTCAAAAGTAGCCTGAAACAATGAATTCTTGACACAGTAAGTAGGCTAGGGTTCCTTCACTTAACCAGCTTCCAACAGAGGATTTGTGTCACTCTTGAGGGTTAGGGTGGGGCAGGGATGGGGGCATTTAATTCTGTTTTCCCACTATTATGAACCAACGCCATGCCCCTCTAACTGTTCTATCCTGAAGCAAAGCAGAAAGACACACAAAAGAAAAATAGGAACCCGATCTTCATCATTTATCTTACCTGAGAACTTAATCATGATAAAATTAAATAGCAGTGATTTCTCTAGTAATCTGCTATGAAAACCAAGATAATTGTTGAAAAAAATCTTAAAAATTGTTTTTGAATGGATACATGCAGGTGGCATATACATTCTCTGCCCTTTGAAATCAGTATTCATTACAATCTACCCATCTTGTCTCTGAAATTCACTACAGTCAGTGAAGTCTGCTAACACATTTCCAACGAGAAAAAGGCTGGAGGAAAGAGTATATATTTCAGAGATTTCTGGCAGTTGGCCAAGATGTATAGCTATAGATTGTTTTTAATAGTCCTGGAAAGTCAGTTATTAAATTGTGAATGGCACTGCTATCAAGAGCTATGGATGATCGATGATCAGGGATCTCAGGAGGCAGAGGAAAGACGACCTTCATGAACTAAATTCTATGGGGATGTCTATGGCTAGAGGGACATAGGTGAGCAGACAGCTACTCAAGGAGAAGGGTCTGGCCTGGGTATCAGTAGGCGGAAGAGCAAGCCTACGGCACTCTGGGAGACTTTGCAGAGGCAAAAAGAAACCAGATGAAACTTGGCCAACAGTATGAGCTGGTGGGACAGACTTGGGTTTATAAGGATCTCAATAACAAAAATAAATCACTTAAGCCCACATCCCACCCACAAGATTGCTAACATTAAAGATGCAAGGGAGAGTGTGGCCCAAGTAGGAGGGTAGAGGACAAGATCACTGGAGGAGAGTTGAGGGAACTTTGAGAGATCCGGATATTGGAAAGATGATCTTTGTAGTTGCTCAAATCCCAAGAACTGTAATAAGAGTAGTGTTAGAAACAATGGCAGTAAGCCAAAAACTAAGACCTTCAGGAATGAGTAAGTAGTACCCGGGAGCCTATAGATGACTGCTGCAAGATACCATTTTATGTTTGATAGCATAAACTTAGAGCTGTGGGGTGTTTTCATGGAATGAGGAAGGGCAATGGCCTGGAAGGAAGGAGAAGCAAAGAAAACACCTACCCCTCCTCGTGGCCCAATAATGTAGGGGTGTGGGTGAGAGAACCACAAGGAACAGTCAAACTTGAGTTGAAAGAGGAAAGTGGTCAAAGGGGTTGAGAAATGAGGATTTTGCTAATGACCCAATTCGCAAACCCTAGAGGAAGGGTCCAGAAGTTGGGGAGTGGTCAGAAAAGGTGATGTAGAAAGTCATAAGAGGTTGAGGGTCTGAAGGACGAGGGATGACTTGGGAGCCTGGGACTAATTGTGAAGGTTTTCAGGCACAGAGTGGTAGCAGAGGAGGAGGTGAGAAGCTGAGCAGAAGCAGACAGTTTTCCAAAGAATAAGTGGTGGTCTTTACTCCTCCCAAAGGTAGCCAGGGAAGGGGTGCTCTTATCTGGAGCATGTATATCTCTGGTGTACAAATCTCAGTACCTTTGTACATGCTGTTTCTCTGTGAAGTGCTCCCCATTCTTCACCTTGCTAATTTTAATGTCTTCAAATTTCAGCTAAGACATCAGCTCCTCTGGAAAGCCACCCTTAATTTCATCAACCCGAGTTAGGTGCTCCTATTAGGGTCATACTTTAGCCTAGCCTTTATCTCTTCACTTCTTAGCTATTAATCTCTTCCCGTTTTCTATCGCCCTATCTGGACTGCAAGCAACTTAATACCTTTTTGCTTGCTTATTTATTAATTGTTTACCTTCATGAGGGAAGAATTTTTGTCTTTCTTTTTACTGTTATATCTCAGATTCATATAACAGTGCTTGGCACATAGCAGGGGATATCTATGGATGGATGGCTCTTCTATGCCTGACACCGTCTTAGATCATCATAAGCCCTTAAAACTGTGTATTAAAATTATTATTATTCTTTGAAAGGCAGAGTGGCTGGTACTGAGGACTCATAAGAAAATAAGATAATCCTTGCCCCAGGGAATTTATAGCCTAATGGAAAAATTCCTCCTCATATGGACTTTGTCCAGGTTAAAAAAACAAAACATAAAATACGTTTGCCTAGAACTGTCACAGTGTTTATCTTTTTTATAGTTGTGGCACTAGTACAGTATTTAGAACATGGAAGGTGCTCAATAAATGTTGAAAAATAGTAATGAAATATTCAATTATAGATATGAAGAAGTTATATAGACATAATTATATAGATATAATTATAGACATGAAGAAACATGTATTTAAATTAATTCCTATCCTATCCTTCATCACTTCTATCTCCCATTTCTACGTATACAAATACTACTCTCAACTCCTCTGTTTCCAACATTTTTTACTCATCTATGTGGTAGGCATTGTGTAGCCTTTTTACAAATGTGAATCATGTCACTCTTCTCAGAATTTTTTAATGGCTCCCATCACCTATAGAAGTAGCTTTCTGACTTTTTGGTTCAGGATACTTGAAGGTAGGAAGAGAGATTGGTTAAAATGCAGATTTTTAAACTCACTCCCAGATGTCCTGATTGATTAAGGAATTCCTGGAATGTGCATTGTAAGAAGCACCGCCACTCCCAAATAATTTCTCATACTTTAGAGGAAGACGGACTGTAGTATCAAATCTAGTATGAAAGGGCCATGATGAGCTATTCTGTCTACTTCTCCTGCCTCCTTCTCTACTATTCTCCATTTCTGGAATTTTTGCTTCAACAGAACCTAACAGCTATCCACATCCCCTACATACCTCTTCCCCCTACCTCTATGCCTTTGTACAGAGGTCCACCCAGATTGTCTGCCTGGCTAATTCGACTCAAGTACCTGCTAAAAAAGCTACCTTCTCTGGTTTTCTCATAGGATTTAGGAGGCCCTTTTATCTGCGGTACCAGGACACTTGGCCCCTGCGCGGGTGTGCGCTCCCGTTGGTGCGCAACCTTCTGCGTGCAGTTCGCGTCTGCCTCGATAGGGGCGCTCGGAACCCGCCACGACGCCCGGAGTTTAAGCGTCTGGAAGGCAGGGGCTGTTTTCTTCATCTTTTTAGTCCTGAGCATCTTGCTCGGTACCCGGTAGAAGGGGTTCAACTTTTGGTTTGGCGACTTGTCCTAGATCACAGAGCTGGTAAACCGCAGTCAACACCCGAGCCAAGAGCGTCTAATCCCAAATGCAAAGTTCTTTCCAGAGGTGCTCTGCGCCCTTTTCATGATCACCCTAAGTGGATGTCATTTCCATTGGTTTCTGCCTCCCCAGGAGCATTTAACATTTTATTCATGTTTTAAAGTCTTTTGGGGGGAAAGTCTTATTTTCTCCTTCAGGGCATAAAGCACAGAAGGCTTAATGTGATGCCATCTTTGTATTCCCCACAGGGCCTGGCAGAGTATCTGGTATTTAGTAGTAGGAAAATTTATTTATGTTTGATTAACAAATGACCTATTTGATTAACGATTGAGCTATCTATATAACAGACAGGACTAGGCAGAGATAACCTGAAACGGACGTAATTTTTTACTTTTCCTTTTTCCCACATTTTAAAGATTTTCTTGCTAGAACCGCAGGCTCGCTCCACCTCGCGCCCCCTAGTCTGACGCTACAACCTGGACCTGGAACTACCAGTCCCAGAATGCCACGCGGGGGGGCGGGCTCTCCGAGAGCCGCACAGTGATTGGAGAACAAGTGCGTTTCCTTCCGGAAGGAAGGGCCGGAGAGGCGGGGAGTTTGGGAGACGCTCGAACCCTATCCCGGGGTTGGGTAGGCCACCTCGGGGAGGGTTTGTGGGTGACCCCCGGGTTCCCCGCCCGCTGAGGAGATGGATGAGGACGGGCTTCCTCTCATGGGGTCAGGCATAGACCTGACCAAGGTTTGTAGAAGGAGCTGGACTTCTGGTGACTGGGAGGGGATGGTGAAGGGACGCCCGATGGCCAGGGGGACCCCGTCTCCCCAAGCCTCACCCTGTGCCTGACCTGGGCTTCTCTTCCGCCGGCTTCGGCTGGGAGAGCCCCACAGTTCACCTTAAAAGGGGGCCCCTCCGTGTCTGTCTAAGGGGTGAGCGTGCCTTCCGGGCCCTCGCCGCCGGTCCCGAGTCGGCCCGCTCCGGGACGACGCCCGGCGGCGTGGGCGTGGCCGGGCGCGACCCCCGCCCTTCCTCTTTGAGTCGGCCCCCAAGCTTTTTGAGTGTTTTTCTGTGCTGTCTTCACCGACAAGTTCGTGCTTGCGCCTCCAGAGTCCATTCTGAAACTTTTCTATAGCCCCTGTCATCTTCCGACGCCCCACCCCCACGGTTCAGGAAAACGAGGGCTCTTCGGGGGTCCTGTCCCAGCAGAACACTCGTTGTTGTTCGTACCAAAGGGATTGCACCGTGTACGTTCCTCCTGTACGGATCATGTATTTTTTTTACATAACACAGGTGCCAGCTATTCAACAGAAAAGAACGGTGGCATTTCTAAACCAGTTTGTGGTGCACACTGTACAGTTCCTCAACCGCTTCTCTACAGTTTGTGAGGAGGTAGGTCCTGTGATGCTGGCTTCATGAGCAGCCCAGAAATCACTGCACTTTTGAAGGCAGCAATCGAGTAAAACAAGAATTACAGTCGGTTCCCATACCGTGGCATCTCACTCAGCTATTATGTAAACAAACTTTAAATCCTCTTTGAGTCTGTTCCATTACTCCTGTACCCCACTTCTGCTGAAGTTTCTAGAGGCCTTTGTGAAATAGCTCAGTAAGGAATTCCAAAATATCACAGTCAAAGACATTTTTTATTTTCAAATCGGCTGTTTCTCTCTTACCCCAGAGACTAACATTTTTAGGTACACATTGTTTCAGTTTACATTAAAATTATTTTACATTCCTTGGTCCAAAAAAAAAAAAAAGGTTAAGAAGGTAGCCTAGAAATATAACTTTGGCATCAAATATTATGGAAATAAAAACACTGTCTGCAAATAAATGACTTGTGAAGTCAGGATTAAGTACCCAATTAAGGATTAGGTGCCAGATCCAGGGATCCCTGTCTTAAGAAGTAAAGGCAAAAAAGAGAATGGGAAGAATCATGGGTTGAAATTGGGTGTAAGAAAGGAAGAAGGGGTCTGCCTGGCCAGTATGGCTCAGTTGGTCAAGCGTCATCCCATGCACCAGGATGTCACCGGTTCAGTTCCGGGTCAGGGCACATGCCTGAGTTTGGGCTTGATCCCTGATAGGGATGTGCAGGAGGCAGCTAATTGATGTTTCTCTCTCATCAATGTTTCTATCTTTCTCTGCCTCTCCCTTCTTCTCTTTGAAATCAATAAAAACATGTAAAAAAAAGAGAAGTAAAATTAGATAATTCACAGGTGAGCCAATTAAACAAACAGTATTCAGTTCCTTCTGTATTGTATTTAATATAAGGTATAGCCTTAGCAAGTGGAGTTTTTGTTGGGTGTGTTATTAGTAAAAATGAATGGGGACAGGAAAACTATTTTCACTTGTAGATTCCAGTGGATGTTTTTGTCTAGTTATCGAAATAACTTCTGTCTTTTCTGTAAGACAAAAGGAAGTGAAATGATAATTGATAAAGAGACTCAGTTCAATATATTTTATCTAACTGGCCCAGAGACTCAATGCTTGCTTCCCAGAGTTTTATCTTGCTTCCCAGAGTTTTATCTTGTTATTCTATATCCCACTACCTTCTAAGTGGGATATAGTATAACACTGACTGGTTAAAAGCAGTAAGCCAGGGAGTTAGTCCTTCACTTTTCATGTCAGGGAAGGGTGGAGAAGTATCTGGAGAGAGACTATTCCAGGATTGTTAGCAGAGAGGAGCAAATACTCCACCCCCAGTTAAATATTTCTCATCACCAGTTAATAAAATAAAATAAACAACAACAAACAGCAAACACACCTATGAAAGCGACTTGATTGAGCTGCTCTGGGCCACGGATAGCCCCTCACCTTTGTAGTGCCTGACAGTTTTCACTGTCCGAGGAGTGAGTGCTATTTACAGTAACCGTCTCTTGTTTATTGATTGCTTATGAATTATCAAAGCCTCAGGACTATTTTATTTCCTTCTGTTCCTCTCTGAACTGCCCCTCAGCTGTTTTGACTGTTTCAGTATTCCCTAGTTCTTCCTTAAACTCTAGACACACAAACTGGACCAAAAAGTCATGATGTTTAAATGTTGTTTATTGCCTGTTTTTCCTTAATGGATGATAATCTAAGTTGACAGTAACTCATTTTGTACAATCCATATTTCAGCAGTTTGGATATAGCTGCGGGCTGTTTGCTCGGTATGATGACAGTAATTAATATTGTGTGCTTATTTTGCATTAGGCATTATATTAAGTGCTTTACATGTACTTAATTGTCAGAGCCCAGCGTTTTGAGAGAGATCCAGTTTTCTCTCTTTTAGAAATACAGAAACCAAGATGTGGAAAGGTTTAAATCATTTGCTTAGTCATCCATTCACTCATTCAACTTATATTTGAGTGCATAATATTTATAGCTGCAGTAGCTGCTCTAATTTTCTCACACACGGCTAGAAAGTAGCAGAGCTGGGATTCCAACTCTAATCTGTTAACTGGAAAAAGCAAAAATGTCTCAGTATTCTGTTATATTGCACCTTCTGGCCTGAATGAGAGATATGTTGACATCATTTCCAAGTGAGAGACTATGGTCTCTCTTTATAGCTATTTCAAAATTTATTTTTTAGATTTGTATTATCTTCTCTGCTATGCCATGTCCATTTGATGAAATGTCTTTAATAAATGTAATATATGTATTTAAACATAAAGTGCCATTTTCTCCCACATTAAGATTAATCTGGTTTTTCGAAATGTGTTGTAAATTGTTGATAGCACCTACTAGGTCTGTAGTCCTTGTTTAGTTAAAGTCTTAAACAGGAACCAAACAACTGTTTCCCTTCACAAAATATGAACCTCAGCTGTTATTTTTTTAACTGGAAGTGAACTGGGAGAGAGAGGAAAACCTGTACTTTTTCTTGCTGCTGCTGTGTGTTTTTTTTTTCACATAATCTGGTTTGAACTAAACTGTAATAACTTCAGTCACTGCTAAACTCAACTTGAATTAAATTTCCAAGAAATTGTTGGGGCTCTCTTCGGCACTAATACTAGTTTTTAGAATTCTCTAATAAAGAGAAAAGTGAAGAACTTGACTTTTTAAAAGCTTTCTGGATACCAGGCTACTTTGTAACTCTAATGATTGGAACCAGGGCAGGAGCGAAGTTAGAAGATGGAGAAAGGAAAGTTGAATCCGACCCAAGTTACAGAGTTACTTAGGGTCATCTCTTCTTCCTTCACAAATCCCCAGTAAGCATTTCTATCCTGGCCCTAATCAGCAGAATCACATTGAGACTGCAAATTTAAATGGGGGAAGGGGGCGCAATGCAAGTTCTATGCATATTGCAGATAAAACTCAGCAGAAATTTAACCTGATGGTGAATTTGAAAGTCAAAGGTACTCTATAAACAGTTCAGTCAGATGTATTATTTTGACTCAGACTTGTAACATGCCTAGAATACTGAGTTTTTAATCCTTTTTTAAATATTCTAAAACACTTCAGTATAGGCAGAAGTGCTGAGAATTCTCACGTAATCTAAAGCCCTTTACAGTGCTTATCTTCTACATCCAATTTTAAGCCTACCATTAGGCTGAATCTTCAACCAAATAATGTTTTGCTTAAAACCCTATTTAGTGCTACACTTTTACTACTTTTACAACGCTTGGACAACTTTTACAAATTCTAGGCTTATGTGTCAGATGAAGCTTAATAAAACAAGCAATTGTTTTTCTTTCTGGCTTCTAGGACATGTACAATCCAGTGTGATATATACCAAGAGATCCATTATTTTATTTATTTATTTTTAAATCCTCACTCAAGGATATTTTTTCTATTGATTTTCAGAAAGAGTGGAAGGGGGAAGAGAGAGAAAGAGAAACATCAATGTGAGAGAGACACGTCGACTGGTTGCTTCCCACACGCACCCCAACCAGGGCTAGGGATCGAACCTGCAACCCAGATACATGCTCTTCACCGGGAATCCAACCCGGGACCCTTTGAGGGCCAACCCTCTAACCACTTAACCACACTGGCCGGGGCGTGGAGACATTTTAAATAAAAAAAGGATGACTTGAACACAAACGCTGAGATACCATGACAGTCAATTTGATTAGCCAGAAGGCCACTAATTAACTAACGGGCAGGTAGCAAGCATATCCAGCATGGATACCCTGGGCAAAGGGATTATTCATATCCTGGGAAGGACAGCCCAAGATTTCATCACACTACTCAGAACAGTGTGCAATTTAAAACATATGAATTGTTTGTTTCTAGAATTTTACATTTAATATTTTTGGATCATGGTTGACCACAGGTAACTAAAACCTCAGATAAGGGGAGACTACTGTAGTTCACAATTATGGTTATTAGATTAGATATCAAGGATATTTAAATAAATTATTACAAATTAAAATATATTGATGTTTAGATCAGTGTCTTTCATGTCTTGCATGAATAAATCATTCATATAATCTTGTTTTATTTTTTTAAAAGGTGATTTCATTTTGGTGAGGTTTTGATAAAGTAGATGAGAGTAGGTAAAATGAGTGCCAAAGCCAAAGGTTGACATACCACACAAATTCTGCATCCAAAAAGCAATTAAGAATTATTGCTCTAGCAAGTCCAGCCATCCCTCAGAATGCACGGGGGAGTGGTTTCAGGACCTGCACAGACACCAATATCTGGGGATGCTCAAGACCCTTATTAAAGTGGTGTTGTATGTACATATAACCACACATTCTCCTGTATACTTTTTTTTTTTAAACTTTTGTGTGTGTGTTTTTAAATCCTCACTCAAGGATATGGTTTTTTTATTGATTTGAGAGAGAGAGAGAGAGAGAGAGACATTGATGTGAGAGAGAAACATCGGTGGGTTGCCTCTCATCCACACCCTGACGGGGGATTGAACTGGGAACCTACACATGTCCCCTGACCAGGAATTGAACCTGCAACCTCTTTGGTGTACAGGGCAATGCTCCAGCAAACTGAGCCCACCAGCTGGGGCATCCTGTATACTTTAAATCATCTCTAGATTACTTAAAATCCCTAATACAATGTAAATACTATGTAAATAGTTGTTATACTGTATTGTTTAGGAAATAATGACAAGAAAAGAAAGTCAGTACATATTTAGTACAGACACAACCATTGTAGTCCTAACTCCTTAGTAAACATCAGCAACAGCATAACTTTCTTTCCTTAATATTTTTGATTTACAGTTTGAATCCGAGCATGCAGAACCTGCAGATATGGAGGACCAGCTGTATAACATTTTTGTCCGAGCCTCTATAATCTTCCTTATCAACACGTAATTTTCAAAAAAAAATTTTCATTCTTATTTTCTATTTACTAAGACTTGTATTTCAATCCTTAGCCTATCCTGTATGAATCACTGACTACTCATTGAAGGACAATTTAGTTTTATGACCTAACCCTGAAAAAAATTTAATACCAGTTTTTAAATATGAATCATTGAGTACTCATTGAAGGACAGTTTAGTTTTATGAACTAACTCTGAAAAAAATTTAATACCAATTTTTAAATAATTCCAGATAAACAGCATCTGTTTTAGGAAATTTGATTCCCAGTGTGTAGCACAGTGGCATCTTTGTCTTAGTAAGAAAAGGATTTGATTATTTATTAGCTTTGAATAACGAAAAAGTCTATGAAATACTCGGTAATTTCCATCGCTTTTAAATTTATAAGCTTTATTTATTAGAGTAGTTTTAGGTTCACAGCAACACTGAGCAGAAAGCACTGAGTTCCCATATACTCACTGACCCCTGGCCTCTGCGCTGTCTTTCCTACTATCAACATCCCCCACCAGTAGGGTACATTTGTTTAAATCAGTGTTACCATCTACACTGACACATCATCACCTATGGCATCATGTTTTAACAGCGTAAAATTCTTTCAAAACAATGTAAAATTCTTTCAAAAATAGTATCTGGAGTTGCAGTATTTAAGTTCAGATTATTTTACTTGTTTGAAGACTGTTCTCAGCTTGAAAATTGTCCTACTAATAGTTCCTACTTCATACATCTGGTGTGAGATTTCAAATGATATGTAAAGTAAATGCTCGAATGTTTACAATGATGATTATTGCTTAAAATACATACTTATATAAAATATTAAAACATAAATATTAATTTTTGATTCATCTTTTTTATTTCATTTACTTTCATAATTCAGAAATTATTCAGTTTACAAATTAATTTGCTGTAGGATTTCTGTAATTAGTAATTCATTAGATTGACCAAGATTTAATTTTCATGATTTTCATGAAAACACCTAAAATTTGGAGAGGAATTCATTCGTATAATATGTTATAAACCTATATTACATTTATTCATAAAAGCCTCCTGTGAACAAATCCAGAAAAAAAAGTGAAACTTAGCTTTAAATGCCATTAAATCTAGATTCTGATGTTTTATTTCTAAGTTATATCTTTGTAGATATCAAGATGCTCATCTTTAAGTGTCTGTGAAGAAGCACTAATTGCTCTGGTGGCTTTTAGTTTTTTCTTTCTAAATGTGGGCAAAATAACCATTTCTTGGGGTGTTAAAATCTGCTTATGAGTTAGTCAGGATCTTGATAATATTTCAGAAAGCAGTCAAAATGCTGCATATCATCCATCTAGTAACCTGGTCAACTGCTCTTGCACTGTGTCACTAAATATAATAATGTTTAGGAATCGAGTGTTTTAAATAAAGTTCTTATGGATCATATTTTATGATGTTACTTTTGTGTGGTAATAGATGATAGATTAGATAGATGATGATGATGATGATAGATAGATAGATAGATAGATAGATAGATAGATAGATGATAGATAGATAGATAGATAGATAGATAGATAGATAGATAGATAGATAGATAGATAGATAGATGATAGATAGATGATAGATAGATAGATGATAGATAGATAGATAATTTAATTGTATAGAGTAACTAGAGCACAGTAAGCCCTTGGTTCTAGTTTATCTGGGATTTTGATGGTAGATTGATTCTTTTTGCTTTTTTAGAACTCTGATTTTCTTCCTTGTTTTAATTATTTCCAACATAAACTGCTTACTTTTCAACTTCATCTCCTTTTACTTTTCAAACTTGAAAAGTTTGAATTTAGGACTAATTGTATATACTTACATGTCTAATTAATTTATAAAGGCAGATACTGTTCCAGGCTGTCTTGTGTTAATTTTTATTCTTGTTTTCTGTGAAGAATTTTTTCATACATCAACTGATAATTATTAGGCTCCTATTAAGTATCAAGTACTGTTCTGGGCACTAGGGGTATAGCACTGAAGAAAAACTCTGTCCTGGGAGGAGTTTACATTCTGATCCCAATATTGATTGTGGCTCTGATAATGAGTTTGATAAGGTTGATAATGTAACTTCTTATCTGTGAAACAGTTTTATAAAATAACTGAAGCATGCTAATGAAAATAGTACAATACTTTAGTTCCTATTCCTACTCATGTAAATACAAGAGTAGTACATTAGAAAATGACAAATACTTAAACCATAGTTTTTATTATTTTCAAATCTACCCTTTGTTTTTTTTACAGCTTATTTTAATCAGACTTTATTCATTTGTTTCTAATCTTTCTTTTCCAGAAACTGGCAGACCTTTCTCTTCGTATCCAACAAATTGAAACAACTCTCAATATTTTAGATGCAAAGGTTTGTATTTCTGAATTATTTATAGTATAAATTTTGCTGTATTCTTAGCAACTTTCTCAGTTATACTTACCTTTAATTGCATTTGGGAATGAATTAAACTTATCTCTTGCATCCTGAGGTGATACAGTATTTTTTATTAAATTTATTGTAATTAAAAAAAGAAAAGATACTCATTATGAACCTGACTCTATTTAAATATACACATGGATTGAAATTTCTTTCATTATACTAGTCAAAACCATAATGTAACATGTTAACAAACTGAGCTATTACATAGTTTGCTTCATTTGATAAAGAATTTTCAGTTATCTTAATAGAAATCATTTGATAACACAGTGATAATTATATAAAACTTGAGATGTCTTCAGAGCAAAATTTGGAGAAAATATCAGCTATTTTCTGTTTGCAAATATATTAAATACTAATGAAGAATATGCATTTTGATGTCAGAAATTACAAAAGGTAACTAGCAAAAACAGAAGGGTGTTTTGATTTGAAAGCTTGTAGATCTTGTGTTTATAAAGTAATGGAAACACTAGTATATTTTTGTGACTTGTCCTTTTGTCAAAAAACTCTGAAAAAAAATGTTAAATATTTATGAGGAGGAAGTGACTAATAATATCTTTAGCATAAGGATCCAGATGTCTAATTTGTACTTTCTACATCTTTAGATAGACTTCAACCACTGTATTTCTCTCAGAACATTTCTTTGGCTTGGAAAGTTTAGGATACCTGGCCTTGAACATGTTCAAGAAATTCTAGCAGCGATACCCACTTGAAACTATTTGGGCCATAGCCACTTTGCTAAGTACTGTCATCAGTCAACAGTTCTCAATGAATGCCTCTGCTTCAGATCTTATTACTATTGGTTTTTTCATTATTCTTTATTATGGTTATGTGTCTTGTTTTAATGTTTGGGGAATTCCTGAGTTAGAATCCAAGGTCATGAGTTAAGTTACTATATGGACAAGTTAACCTTAATTATTTCCATGGTCATGGGTTAATCTCCGAAACTAGCCAAACATCTGACAAATGTATATCATTGATATCAAGACGAAATCAGAAAAGAGGGTTTGCATGGATCGTGCAACTCCAACATGACATACTCAACCACTGACAGCATATCCATCTTTTATGCATGAAAAAGAACACATTTTAGTACAATTCAGTGATAAATGTTTAAAGAAGGAAAAAAAGAGTGAGCTGTGTCAGACATTAAAATGTGATGACAAGAGTTTTGTCAGCCCTGGCCGGGTAGCTCAGTTGGTTAGTGTTGTCTCTATAGGCCTAGGTTGCAGATTCAATCCCAATCAGGGCACATACAAGAATCAGCCAATGAATGCGTAAATAAATGGAACAACAAATCTCTCTCTCTCTCTCTCTCACACACACACACACACACAGAAATCAATAAATTTTTTTAAAAAACACAGTATGTCTTGGTAGTCTTTAAAAACTAAATATCTTTTAAGAAAGACTTATCATTTCTCAAATAATTGATACTTAAAATGTGCTACAAAGCACTTTTTTACAAAGTATGTTTAGTAATAATCTTTTTACAACATCTTTGTGAGGTAAATTTTTTTATCCCCACTCTACAGGTGAGAAATTGAGGCCTATGGAGATTTATACAAGGTCACATGGCTTGTGACATAAACCCAGGCACTTTGACTCCAAAGCCCATTGCTCTTATTCCTTCACTAGGCTTTCTTATATTTTCAAAGCAATTCCTGGGAACAGAATAGTTAGTTATAAGCTAAATTAGATTTGTAAGAAATTGTTAAAAAATATTTTATTTGTGAATGCCTTTTCCCTTTTAAATAGTCTATGACATGGAGAATTTCAAACACCAAAAATGAGATTTTATTATTTTTTTTATTTGTTCATTTATTTTTATCCTCACCTGAGGATATTTTTTCCATTGTTTTTCAGAGAGAGTGGAAGGGAGAGCAAGAGAGAGAAACATCAATGTGAGAGAGACACATGGATTGGTTGCCTCCTTCCTGCACACAACCTGACTGGGGCCAGGGATTGAGCCTGCAACCGAGGTATGTGCCATTGGCCGGAATCGAACCCAAGACCCTTCAGTCCACAGGCCAGTGCTCTAACCACTGAACAAAACTGACTAGGGCCAAAAATGAGATTTTATTAACTTGTTTCTATGGGCTTAAAAACATACGAGAGCTATTTAAAACACATACCTAATGTTTAAGCACCTTCTATTATCCTCATATACCAACATTAATTTTCCTTTCTCAGTTGTCATCTATCCCAGGCCTAGATGATGTCACAGTTGAAGGATCTCCTGTAAGTGCCACTGGTATCACAAACAAATCACATTCTGAAGCCACTTCAGAGCAATCACAGGTGAGTATTTAACTTCCAAGAACATAAGCAGATCTTCTGGTTGAACCAGGTAGACACAAGCAGCAGACTTGATGTAAGAACTTTAAAAATGTAAAACTTTGAATAGTAATATTTTAAAGCCTTAAGATCAAAAATGAAGTTTGGAAAAAAAATTAGCTGTTTTGTTTTGTGATTTTGAAGGGCTTCCTGAAGTTTATATTTTCTTTGCTCTATACAGGACTAGGTAAAATCTCAAATATAGTTATTTTCTTCAAGTTCACTATGGAAATGTTTTTCTAAGTTCTTTAAAGAAATGCACTCTTTAAATGTTTTATGATAAAAACTTTCAAACATACACAAAAATAGAATAGTATGGTGAATATCCAAATGTCCATTATCCGATTCACTAGTGTAGATTTCGTGGCCATTGCCTTCCTCTTTTTTATCACTTGCTGTAGTGAATCCAAGCATCCTGCCATTTCACCCTGTATAATTCCTGGAGCATCTCTGTAAAGTTCTGACATCTTGCATAACCACAATGCCTTTATCATACCGAATATAACTGATGGTAATTCCCTGGTATTATCTAACCTCTTATACTCAGTGTGCTCTGTGAACCAGCAGCACGGCCATCACCTGAGAGCTTGTTAGAAATCTCCAGCTCCATCCAGACTTACTGAATCAGAATTTACATTTTAACAAGATCCCTAGGTGGTTTGTGGTTCCTTAAAGTTTGAGAGATACTGATCTAAGAAATACCAACTGTCTAAAAAGTGTTTTGGCATTTGATTTGTTCAAATCTGCAACCTAGTAAGGGTCACACTTTACATTTGGTGTTTATGCCTTAATGTCCATGTATTCTCTGTATAAGTTTAAATTTCATGTTACTTTTTATTTTAAGAAGTAAAAGTTGATTGAGAATAATCTTTAGTGCATCTCAATGAAGTATTAAAATTCCAAATAAAATCATGGTGGTCTATCAAGTAATACTGAACAAGTATACTCCCTATCTCTATGGAATTCTACATTTGTACCTGGAGGTACTTTTCACAGGATTTTTTTAGATCATTATTTTGTTGACCGTGATGATAATGACTAACATATAAAGGATGCCAAGCATACTTCTAAGTGCTTTCCATAAATTAATTCATTTAATCCTCATAACAGCCCTACAAAGTAAATACTATATGATCATTTCTACTTTACAGATGTGTCAGATAAGGTACACAGAGGATGAGTAATTTGCTAAGGGTCAAACAAAAAGTGTAAAAGCTGGAATTTTAACCCAGGCAATCTGGTGCCAAAAGTCCTGGCTCTTACTTGCTATACTGCACTGCCTCTAGCACCTATATTGAATTCATCACACTTATTGAGCCCATGCGGTATGAGGCACTGTAGGAGGAGCCATATATTTATAGATTTCTGGAATGAATTAGATAACCATTTACTTAACAATTCAATTATTTAACATCCATTGAATTAATATTGGAAATTCCATTATGACGGCCATTAGAATATATATTTTTGGGTGTCCCAAAAAAAATTATACACACTGTAACAGCCGTTGGCTCAATTTTGAAATGAAATGTATTTTAATAAACACTGCCTTTATAATTATTCAAAGTGTGTGTATACATTTTGGGCAGGACACCCTATATGATATATAAGAGGAAATGCAGGTGTTTAACTTTACAAGATTCTTTCAGTCAAATATGAACCACCCTTTTCCTCAAACAAGATGTGTAAAAAATATTAAGAAAGTGTTTCCACTCTACCTAGTAGAGTGGATACTAGCTGTCATAAGTGGTATCTGTATAACTGAATATTAATTTTCCAGGTGTTATTATGAATGCCATCTATAATATGTCTTTTAAAACTTATGTAGTTGTATTTGTCCTGCCTATTTAACATCTCAAAAAATTTATTATGAGTAATCACAGCAAAATTTTCTAAAATTCAGAATAACATGATATATCTCTGGCAATTTTATTTTTAAAATATATATTCATTTGGAGAATTTATGAAGTTTTGTTGGCTTCCTCAGTTTAAAAATTGTGGTAAAGTTGTGTATTGATTTGGTTAATAAAATAATTGTTTATCATGTTCTTAATATCAAATTAACTTATTTCTTCTCGATTGTTATTAATTTGTATAGTTTTGTAAAATATTTTGAATTAGACTTAAGTATTGTTAATACAGAATTTCCATTGGTATTACAGTCAACTCACTTATCAGATAAAAGGTAGTCATGCACTTTTTCTTAATTATCCATTCATTGCAGTCTCTGTATGAGTCAAAGATCGAAGGTTTGCATACTGATTTTTCTGCAACTTTAATTTTGTGGTTCAGATTTCATCATTACTCACAATAGAACATCCAGTTGTGCAGATTGAGAATAAAATGAAGGACAGTTGAGAGATGTGATAGAGGATTTATTGGGTCATTCAAATAGCAAAGGTGTAAGACCTGACATAATTAAACCTTGTTGAGGTCTTGATTATTAGGTGAAAGCTAACAGGTAAGTTTTGAGATCCAGAGGGCCTCTATGTAATTATCATTTAGTCTGTGTACTATTGTATGAGTTCATCATTCATAATTTTTCATAATTTTTTAAAAGCATATTTGGGTCTTGTTTGAATTTTTTATTTAATTAAATCTTTAGACTTTGTGTATTTATTTACTTTACAGATGAATAAATACACACATGAATGCACACTTTTTGGTGTACTTAATGGTGTCATAAAACAGTAGAAACCTGAAGAATTTTTGTATGTTTTATTCACTTCATAGTTTTTGACAGATTTAATTTATATTTGAGTTATGTGAGGAAAAACCTTACTATATAATTCACATTCATATTTTTAAAACTGAATATTTAAAGATATTTCTCGATTTGTCTACATTTCAGCATAGCTATGTAGACATAAAGTTGATTTCATCCTGTTAAGGAAATTCCTCTTAATGCTAATATACAGATAATGAATGAGAATTCATAAAAGTAAACTTATTCTAAATGTTCAGGTTGGGGGAAAAATCAAGAACTGTATAGAGACAGCCCTTGCTTTGCACTTAAGCAAGGGCAGTGCAGCAGTATGGACACAGTACTGCGACAATTGCCTATATGATGAAAGCATTTTTATCCTAGATCACTCCCCAGTGTTCTTCACTTTGAGTAGTGTCTAGCGTTTAATCTTAGCCACTCCGTGGAGAATGTTATCATTCACATTGCCGTCAGTAGCCAAAATATACAAAACCAGATAATTTTGTCTGAAAAATGGTTTTTTCTTCCATAAATTCTCTAGGCATTGCTCTCTGAGATAATAGAATAGCCATATCCACTTAGGAAAAGATTATTTATACTGAGGAGGGAGGGCTCTGGCTTCATGAGCATCCACTGCTAAATGTTATCCCTGTTAACCGGGGGCAAGATAATACTATCTACCTCAGAGATAGAAAAGCATACATCTGCCCTATGAAAATCATAATGAAGGAGCATTACTGCCTAGCTGCAGCAGGAGATGACCTGAAGATGACGAGAGGAGAAAGGAGGTGAATTGTGAAATGTTGAGATAAAAGAAAAACCAAGCGCGGAAGTCGGTCAGCAATAGTTAGAAGCCTCAGGCTGTCAGGGCTCCACAAGCACCCAACTCACACAGACCTGCCGGGCCCCAGACAGAATAATTACAGGAAAAGATTATTTGGTTAATGAGGAATTCAATTGTGTAGATGGTGGATACCTAGAAAATCAGTTCATTGCCCATTAGAGTGGAACAATAGACAAATAGAATAGTTTTATTAGCTTTATTAGAAGTTTTATTAAAATATTTCCACCTATAATTCATCTTTTTATCAGCACTTTGGGGACAAGTAATATTTTTAAATTCCATAAATACATTTGCAATTTTAAGGGAAAATATAGTATTTTTAAGTGTAGTTCCTCTGGAATCATATTTAAATATTTGTAAATATTTGGAAGTATGTATCTTATAATTATTGGTATTTAAATTTAGAAATACGATTTTTTTTTCTGGTATTGATTGCTTTAGAATTATAAAAAGAAACATCCCTTTTAAGTAGCATGATGGACCCCTTTTGTGAACTGTCTAAAGATTTACACGCAATACTCTCTACAGCAGAAAAGTTTACAAGACTCTGGACCACAGGAAAGTGAAGTAACAGCAGAAAATATCTTAACTGTAGCCAAGGACCCAAGATATGCCAGATATCTCAAAATGGTTCAAGTGGTAAGCTAATTTGATCTGTCTTCTCTGTCTAGCAGCCTCCTTTGAAATTCTTAACTCTGGAGGGTTTCATTGTTGCTTTTCAACCTGAACAACTGCTAAACCAAGTGACCAAGTTTTCTACTCTCTTGCTTACTTTTTTCCTATGTTCAGTTAATGCCCTGAAAAAAAGTAACCAAAAGTCATATCTCTCTAATTAAAATTAATCTCATACTTAAGACTAACAGTTTAATATAGATTTTTATATATATGTATTTGCTTTACACAAAGTTATTGCATATCGATAGAGGAATGAAAGTAGAGTATTCATACAGCTTTAGCTTAATTCCCATATGATAGCACAAATCTTTTTTTTTTTTAATATTCTTATTCTGAATTTGATCTCTCAATGGTTTGGTTCATAGAAAAGAGCATAAATCTCTTTGCCATGTAAGGTGATGCTTTTAGTTTATTATATGATTTTAGAATTTATATTTTTCCTAGGAAATCATTACATGGAATGATAGTTTTATTTTGCTGTCTATGCTTTTTTTTTTTATCACCAAAATAATTGAAAACATATAATGTCTGACAACCAGAAAGAGTGGATGGGCTCCTTTAGAAGCTGCTCACTCTGCCTCACCTCTGCTGGCCTCCTTGATGTTCCTTGAATAAATATATGGACAGCCTCCTCTCTCAAGGCCTTGGCATCAGCTGTTCTCTCTGCCTCAAACATTTGTTTCCCAGATATCTTCATGGTGTACTCCTTCACTTCCTTCAAATCTTTACTCACATATACCTTCTCTCTGGCCCCATTCCTTTTGCACCTTATCTGCTATATTTTTCTTCTTATAACCTTCCAATATTTAAAATACTACATATCCTACATACTGTGTTTGTGTATCTCTCTCTACTAGAATACAAGCTCCATGAGGGTAGAGGATTATTTTGGGTACTGCACTGTTCTCAGTCCCTAAAATACCTGACATCTAGTGTTTCCCAATGAATGAAAATGCCTATATTTTTCTCTAGGCCATTTTGCCTTTTGATGGGTGTTGGTGATAGATTTCTTTTTAACACTGCTCAGTGGTTTCTAGATTGACCAGCTTTGTTGAAATACAAGCTCTTGGCTCCTACTCTACTGAATTAAAATCTCTGAAGTTGGGACTTAAAGCTAAAGCATATGTATTTCCAAAAAAAGTTCTTCAGATTAGGAACTGTTTTAAAAAATGTCAACCTCTATTATGTCATTAAAAGAAGTTTTATTTAGAAACATTTAAGAATGAATAAATTATTATTAATTTTTGTAATTATGTAGAAGTACTTTAGCTTTAGCCCATTATTTTTGCTTGCTGTCACCAAGTAAGAGCAGAGGTTTAGTTTCTTCTTCCTCAGACTTTTCCTCTTTTTAGCCTACTTTTCCTGATCTCAGTCCATTGCCTCCCCTCTGCCTTTGGTACAGGCATTTCTGATTCCTCAACGTTTCCAGGGTTCTGGAAGTGGACTTGGCCTGTCTGTGCTAAGTCATCAATCATTCTTTTATCTGCTTTTAATTTCCATGTTATTGTGGTTCGTATATGCCTCTGAGTCATTAAAATTTTAGTTTAGACCTTACTGTTTGGGGGTAATTTTCAAGAAGAAAGGGAGAGCAACATCTTTACACTGCCATCTTAAAACTGCAAGTTCATCCAAGTTAAATTTCATTTTACTGTTTTCAGTTTACTGTGCCAGCCTGGATCCCAGAATCTTATTACCCAACTTTTGTTTCCTACTGCTCCCTGTCCTGAATTCCATTCTTTGTACCAAACCACAGATCCTTCCCAATATAAGCTCCATGCTCTCCCGCCTCTGGATGTAGATTCCCTTCTCTTAATTGCTGTGCGCCCCATTCTACTCATGTAACACGCTCCTGTGAGCACTTCCACTAACCCCCCAGATCCCAAACCCCGCAGCACATGCAGCGTAAGTGCTGTCCCGGTCGCTGGCCGGTCTGACCGCGCTGCCTGTGTCCTGTGTGAAGCCGGCTCCTCCATGCCGTGCTGGTGACTCTCCACGCACGCTGCCCTCCCACCGAAAGGGAGCCGTGGGAGGAGCGGAGCCCTGTTCCGTCTCCGCGTTCCCCTCTGCACCACCGTGGCAGCGCCCAAGCGGCGTTCGCTGAGAGGGCTCCTCACCCGGCACATTAGCTCCCCTTTAAGGCCTTGTGCCAGCTGGAAATGCCCCATTTCTCCAGGTTATTCATCCAGATGTCTGTAGGACCAAACCCAGAGTAGACCAAGTAGTGGACCCCTCATGGGTAATGTGAATCTGCCAGCCGTCGCTCTGCTTGGCCACCTGTAGTTCCACCGGCTCTCCTGTCCCTAAGTAAGCCATGGGTGACCACTGAAACGTCGACGGGGGCAGGCTTCGCGTTGGACCATGTCCTGGTTGGTCTTTCCTGGGCATGGCCACTTCTGTATCATCATTCAGTGCCGCCTCTTTGTCCAAATGTAAGGGTGACATAGTTGAGTCGGCTCCCTCAGTGCTTCATCTGTTCAAGGATAAAATTTTCAGATGTAGGCGTTTATCAGATACTCTCCTTTGGGCAAAACTAAGCGGCCATTATATCATGTCTGTATTTTATCTTTCCGCTTGTTTGCAACATGTTTCAGAAAACCTCCTCTAAATCCTGCACCTGGTCAGGTGGCCAAAAAGAATGCTCCACCTGGTAATACAACATCTGCCCTTTCTGAGCTCCATGTTCAAGAATTCCCATATATCTGGATGTGTATTGATTTATAGATATCTTTCTCCTTACACTGTAAAACACTGTAAGACATGTAAGACATGCCTTTCAAATGCCAGCTCCTATTCATTAATTTCAATCTACTAAGTGTTAACGATCCCTGATATTCACTGATTTCAAGATTTCGTGTTTCCTCTCTACAAATACACACACTTTTATTTTAGGCTATTGGATTTGTTTTCTATTTCTTCATCTCTCCTCTTAATAATTACCTGCTAGTTCTTCCACTGATTTTTTTCTCCTGTCATTAATTGAGGATTTTTTAAATTATTTTTTATTGAGGTATCATTGGTTAATAACATTATATAAATTTCAAGTATACATTATTATTCAATATCTGTACTCTATTGCATGCTCACCCCTAAAGTCTAGTTTCCATTCATTACCATACATTCTTTTCCCTCCCCACACTCCCCTTGCTTCTGGTAATCACCTTTCTATTGTCTGTATCTGTGAGCTTATTTCTGTTATGTCAGTTTATGTTACTTTTTTGTTTTATATTCCACATATAAATGAAACCATACAGTTTTTGTACTTTTCCATTCGACTTATTTCACTTAGCATAATACCTCAAGATCTTTCCATGATGTTATAAATGGCAGTTTTCCTTTTTTATGACTGAGTAGTATTTCATTGTATGTGTATATATATATATATATATATATATATATACCACATCTTTATCCATTCATCCATCACTAGACACTTAGCTTGTTTTCATATGTTGGGCATTATAAATAATGCTGCAATGAACATAAGGGTACATATATATTTTTTTAATTAGTGTTTTTATATTCGTTTGGATAAATACCCAGAAAAGGAATTGCTGGATCATATGGTAGTTCTATTCTTAATTTTTTTGAGGAACCTCCATACTGTTTTTCATAGTGGCTGTACCAGCTTTCAATCCCACCAACAGTGTATGAGGGTTCTCTTTCTCAATATCTTCTTCAACACTTATTTCTTGTCTTTTTAATAATAGACATTCTAACAGGTGTGAGGCAGTATCTCATTGTGTTTTTGATTTGCATTTCCCTAATAACTAAAGATGTTGAACATTTTCTCATATGCCTGTTGGCCATCTGTATGTCTTTCTTGGAAAAATGTCTGTTCAGATTTTCTGCCCTGAGGGTTTTTTACCCTTTGATTTCAGTTTAAAGTCCCTTGATCATACCTGTGGGTTTTGCTAAGCATAACCTTTTTGGGTTCTTCTGAGTCACTTAGCACTTTTCCAGGAGTATAATTATTCTAGTATCATAAGTCATCACCAAAAATACTGTTCTTCAGCAGCATCTGCATAGCTAATAGTGTTTTCTATATCCATGTCTTCACAGAACTCTAGCTAGAACAGATGACAGTCTTACTCTACTTTAGAAAATACCTCACAGGAGAGTCATTAGAGACCCATTACAACCTATATCGTTGAATCCTTCTATTTCTGCCACTGATATGGAAAGAATCTAGGTAGCTCTGTATGTGTATATTTCCAGATGGTGAAGTGCCTTCCTGTTTTCTCTATTAGTCTTCTAATTGGTTGTTCATTCCGCTAAGGTGATTCAGTTCCTTGAGTGTGACTGAGAACAAACAGGGCTCAAAGCATGTGGGTAGAAAGAAAAACAAATCTGAGTACTTCCTATGAGGAAGAACCTAATCCCAGTTCATTCCAGAGGGGTTTCATTACAAATTGCCTGATGAGTACTGGAAGATTGTAGATTTTTATTAAAATACCCAGTTTTGTCTGGCCGGGCATGGCTCAGCAGTTGAGCGTCAACCTAGGGTCCAGGAGGTCGCAGTTCAATTCCTGGTCAGGACACATGCCCGGGTTGCAGGCTCAGTCCCCAGCAGGGGGCGTGCAGGAGGCAGCCCATCAATGACTCTTTCATCGTTGATGTTCCTATCTCTCTCTCTTTTCCCTTCTCTCTGAAATCAATAAAGATATATTTTTAAAAATAATAAAAATTTTAAAAAATAAAATATCCAGTTTTTCTTGACCTCAGAAGGCAACTAAAGTTTCTCCAACCTGCCCACTACTCAAAATTTAGTTTTAGTTATTAACATAGAGAAAGATCATCATCTGCATAACTCATCAAAAAGCTATAGTTTGTCTATTGGTATGGTCTTGAGCAGTTTATCACCATTGTACACATTACTACATGTTAACAAAGCTGAGTTTAGAAGCCTACATTTTGGATAGGCTTCTATTAACAAAATTGCTTGTATTAACAAAAGGGAAGATAGC